ACCCATTTGGGATGCCATCGATTCTCACTAGTTCAAGAACGCCCTCAAGCACTCCGCGAGTCTTCTCACCAAATACCCAAATAATCCCTGTGCTCTTGTAAGTTTGTCAGCCCATCCCCGCTTATTTTCTTTTTAGTTTCATTTTCTTCATTATTTATTTGTGATAGGTAAACGTGAATGTTGGTGATCAGTATTCAAATTATGATTGCACATATTCCATTCTTTGGATAGTATTGATGTTAAATATTGGAAATTTTACTCACGTCTTGGGCGTATAGATGACAAATGTTGTTATGGTTTTATTAGATCACATGTCAATGATAAGCTTGATTTTATCGTGCTATATTTATCATTAAATGATACATATGTAACTTCTGAATCGACATCCAATTTGTCATTTGCCAGGGTCCTAACTGGTAAGTCTAATCACGTGGTGGCGTTATACCGGGAAAATGGAAGTATTGGAATATATGATGCATTGCGTTGATTTCTGATTTAACTATACAAGTTAGTACTTGGATACCAGATTAGTCGCAAGTCAGTGATTGAGTCAATAATAAGCTCATCATTGATATTCATGGACCAAAGCCGAACAACTTTAGATAATAAGTTCCTAACAGATCCCGGAATTACTCCTAATGAAAGCACAAACCTTGTAATGCTCCTCAAGGCTGGTTTTGTTTTCCGTCTATTTTCTATATGCCCAAATGAAGCTAGGCTTTTCTTCTTTATATGTTGTACTTGGCTCATCCAGGCCCTCCCCTCATCGTTGCATGTGATTTGTTGAATGAGATGAAGAAGATGGATTGGGTTCCTTCTGAGGGTACAATTACAAATGTGATTATTACATGTGTGAAGCAGAGGAATAACTGAGGCGTTAAAGCTTAAGGATGAGATGATAAGTAGGGGATATACGATCAATTTTGTTGTTGCTACAAGCTTGATGAAAGGGTACTGTCAGCTAGGAGATTTAAACAGTGCTTTAGAATTGTTTGATAAGCTTGATTCTTGGAAATTGTAGGAAAGGGAACATGGATATAGCATTAGACTTACTATGCAAGATGCTACAAAAGAACTTGAAGGCTAATCTCGTCACATATGGTATATTGATAGAAGGATATTTCAAGATGGGTGAGTGTGAACAAGATAGATGGATAACACATATATGTGATTTGGAATGCCGCGCTGTGATTTGGCATAACGTGTGTCCACAGCAATCAACTCATGGGAGCCTTGCATGTTAGGATGATGTAATTCACATCACTAAATGATCAGGAATGTCTTTTATTTCAATTGGTAAAGTCGGTGTAATATAGTGCTAATAATTCATTAGAGGGCTAAGGTCCTCTTCGTATGAGGATTTCCAACTTGAATCATGTTGCATGACTTAGCTTATAGTAAACTAATTACTTTATTTTTTGGAATGTTTAATGGCATGATGATGCTATGTGTCCACATAAGTGACCTTTGTTTGCAAGTGATGAATGAGATGTGATTTTTCATTGAATGGTGTCTTGTATGTGATAAATGGAACGTCTTTTTATTATTATTATTATTATTATTATTATTATTATTATTATTATTATTAATTTATTTATTTATTTATTTATTTTGTGCTTTGGAAATGTGTCTTATTTTCTACTGCATCAATTCCATATCTAGCAGGCTCATCATAATAGCAAAACAATGTCTAGAAGGCCCACTTCCACTCGTCACCTTACAGACAGTGGGAGCAATCCATTTGTGGGTTCATTGCATCCCAAATCACGCCCATCTCCTCTATTATCTATAGGGCATCTTTCTGTGGTAAGAGGTGGTGTCGTTATCTTGACTGGTAGGAGGTGGTGTCGTTGGCAGGGTTGCCAATCACAAACCTATGTTGGACACATTATCAGTGCTGGAAAATAATGATCTAGGATTCCTCTTATCTTCTAGTAGCTACGTTAGCACACATGATTAGATACTGGAACACTTGTAGGCAGCATAGATTTTCTTGATGCCAGCCTTGTATGTAAATTTCATGACCAGTTGAGCACGGAAAAATGAGTAAATTTAATGTGCTAATATAAATTGAAGACATCTCTGCATCCAATTGAGTGATTGATGAGTACTTAGAGAATGCGGTCATGTCATATTCATTTACACTTGGTATGTTTAAGTCATTTTATGTTGTATTTATACTTCCACAAGCTAACAATTTTCCCTTTCAAGATGTTTGATATTAGTAATTTTACGCTGAAATTCTCATTTATGATGTCTATATTGTGAATTGGTTTTCCTATTCGATCATCTTTTCAGTAGTCATTCTGCAATTACCAAGTAGAGTCTCATTCACCATTGCAAAAACATTGTTTGGTTCAATGAATCGACTTGGAAAATTTTTCCTTTTATTGTAAACTATTATCATATTAGTTGACAAGAACTTGAGTTGGAACTATGAAAAACGGAACAAAAGTATTGAAACAAGAAAAAAGACGAGTATACGTCCACTAATTGTATTATCTGATTGGTTCTTGAAGGATCGAACTTAAAAGTAAAATACAAGGGATTGTTTTACATTTGTTTGCCTCAAAAGGATTATAGACTTTTAAACTAATTTGTATGCCTGAGGTTTCAATCAAGACAATTTTTACATTTCACGAGCATGTTTTATGTTATTGAATTTCGACTAATGTTAGTGGTGGAAATGAAAAATAATTACAAATGAAATTGATTTTAAGAACTTCAAAGGTTATATTTGGATCATATTTATAAATACTCAAATCTTTTTTCATCACCACTTTATTAAAGAATGTATGGTTAAAAATGAATTATTTAATACATTTCATCAACACTCAAATCATTTTTCACCAACTTCAAAATTTATATGTTATTTAATATTATATTAACATTAAATTATTAAAATTTACTGAATAATCAGATTTCTTGAATAAAATTAAAAAAAATATTCTCAAAATTTCAAAGTAAATGCGTTTTCCAATTTTATGTTTCCAGAAATTGTTTTCAAAAATGACAAAAAGAATGGATTTCAACAATTTCAAAATAGCAACTCAAAACACAAAATTCAAAATGAATTCAAAACTCAAAACTATAAAATTGAAACACGAAGAGAACATATCCTTACCTTCCTTTGGGTTGGTGAATATCCTTATGAATTACATACACACAACCTTTCTAATATTTCAAATAAATTAATCTAGATAAGAGATGTTACTTTTGGTAACATGTAGTTTCAATTAATTTAGTTTGAAAAATTAGTTATGTTAAAGGAAACTATAATACCATAATTTTAATTGTTGAAACCTTATTATTTTATTTTTTGTTGTTTTGAATTTAATTACTTTTGGTAACATGTAGCTTCAATTAATTTAGTTTGAAAAATTAGTTATGTTAAAGGAAACTATAATACCATAATTTTAATTGTTGAAACCTTATTATTTTATTTTTTGTTGTTTTGAATTTAATACAAAAAAATAGTAAACAGGCGCTGTGGCATTGGGTTCTTTGAACACAGCGCCTGGGTGTTGCCTCGTCTCGAATCACGACAGCAGTCGCATTTGGGTACAACTATTGTAATGTCAAAAAATTACATTAAACCCAAAATTTAGATATCAAGGATTTGAAATTCACATCCCAAATTTTAGAAAAACCTAATTATGATCCTTAATACCCCAAACCCAAAGCACTGAGCCCAGGTGGGTCCGCCCCTTGCTTACTACCTTCTCTCCAAATGCGTGTAATCTAGAACTCGTCTTTTTGGTAAGCAGTAAAATGTAAAAGAATAATATTACTTGTATATAATAAATTACATAATGTCTAATTCACATGGTCAAGAGAAGGGACATAAAATACGTCTGTTCATCTTGTACAAAATTTTATTCCACACACATATAAATAATTTTCTTATATAAAACATCTTTGAAACATGCTCTTGCAAAAGCAAATCGATAAATTTTTATACAACATTAATCATCCTATGCAAATATTGATTTGTAATTGCATTTTCCAGTTTGAAAGTGCCATTAAGGATCATTAATTTTGTATATTAGCCACACATGACTTGAGTAATGTCTACCCAAACAGGGTTTAAAAATAGGAGCTTTGATAGGTGTTGCATTGACAGCAGCTGTATGGGTGAATTTTTTTAACTATCTAATGAGGCTGTGCCATGTGTTCCTTGTTTTTAAACCCTGCCAATGACCCTATTTGTGTAGAAGAACTCTTCACTCGATAAATTATTGTTCGTACTTTTGGGCAATAATGATCATTTCGCACAGTTTTAAGAATATTCAAACAAAACATGAATCATTCGCAGTTTCAGTGTTTGGAGAGTCGTACAATTGGGCATCTGGAATACATTTTACTGAAAGCCTATTATGCTAATCTAAAAACCAAAAAAGAAATAGAAAAATAAGTAACTTTTAATTTCTAAATATGTGTTGATAATTTAATTTGACTTACTCTTAAGGAAAAATATATTTTTGAAAAAATAAATCTTATATGTTTACTATTAAAATAAGTAATTTATTTATTTTTATTTTCATCTAAAAACAAAATTCAATTTAAATTTACCTTTTTATCTATAACTAAATTTAAACATACCCTTATGGGAATAATGCTTTCTTGCCATATGAATTTACCACCTTGGATTGGCCAGTGAATGATTGATAGGATTTTTTTTTATTAAATTGGCCAATGACAGACTACCATGTGGCATTCTTTCAACCACGATGGTAAAATTTCCTGGGAATGTAATGAGTAGTGACACAATATAATTACTAACAAAGATGTAGCGCCCCCTTCTCTAGAGTTTATTTTACCAAACAGACATTAATGTTTAATGAAAATTACAAAGGTAGAACTTCAAAACTTAATTCACGGAATCAAAATTTAAAAGCAGATGAGAAAATTGATTCATTAGAATTAGCTCAAACGTGCACGTTTTGAAATTATATTTTCAAACTAGTTACCTTACAAGACATGATCATAAAATTCTGTGCAACTAAAGAAAATAAAAATTAATACACATTGATTTAAATTACTTCAATCATAAGTTCATGTATATTACGAGGCTATGTAAGCAAAAGCATTTTCAGATTAGACCGTTCTAATTAAAATAAAGCCCCTTGTATATCTCTCCTCACATGAGGGGAGGGGTCCATGTCCAATTAATATGCGGGCTCTACCCCCTATGTGAGGGGGCTGTATATACAGCAGTTCCTGGCCTACCATTCATCTGTACTTTTATACTGTTATATCCAGTGTAGGAGATCACCTAAGGTCCCATTTTGGTAAGGATCCCCAAAAAAAATATCATCCATGTAAAATTTTTGAAGATAATATAAAAGAGTGAGACTTAAGCCACTATAACAAATATATTAAGAACGATAAATTGAAAGTGTTAGAGCAATAAGATTTCAATCGCCAGAAATAGAAGACGTCTTATAACACCTAGTGGAAACATATGATGACAATAAGGCATTTAGATATGCTAAAAGTTTATCTTATAATATTATGATTTTTGAGTTCTTGTTTGGCATGATTATTTGGTACAATGTATTGTCTACTAATAATAGAGTAAGAAAAATGTTACAAAATGAGGATATGTCTATTGGCGCTACTTTTAGTAACTTGAAAGTACTTATTTCATTTTTTGAAATAGATAGAGAAATTGAATTTGATCTGAAAAGATAACCCTTAAAGAAATTGCTACTTAAGAGGATTTGAACCTATATGTTATGTGTTGGAAATGTGTCTTCGCAAGGAAAGAAATGGAGAAGAAACAAAGAAAAAAAAACAGGAACAAGATATCAAGATGAAGGTTTGAACACGTGATCGTTATCCTCAAACCATATTTGTCTCTTCTAATGTTGAAATTAAGTGATTATAGGGTTTACGGCAAATGGTTTGTAGGAATAATCAATCATTGTCAATGATTTAACACTTAATCACTTAATGAAATCCTCAAAACTTAAGAACACAAATGGTATGAATTTGATTGAAAGAAATTGGATTGTTTTGTGGAATGAAAGTAAATCACGATTGCTTTCATGTGTTTTTTAATTGATCACTAATCACCTATATATATACTACAAAAACACTTCACGAATTGGTGCTAAAATAGGATGATAAGTGACAAGAAATTCAAATGTTAACGGCCATATTTGCCTTCTATGTGGGGATGGTAGTGGGTCGGGTTCCGGGGGGGGGGGGACCAAACCCTCGCTCCGCCTTAGACGGGGGCAGGGCGGCAACCTCTTTTTTTTTATTTTTATTATTATTTTTTTTTAATTTTGAGTTATGCAATTATTAGAGAATAAAATACAAATTTAAAATGGGTTTTAAACAGGTGAATTGTCCAAAAATAAATTATTTTGAATTATTTTTTTCTCTTCACGGGCAGGTTCGGGGAGGGGCGGGTTTTATTGGCCCCATTTTGGGCGAGGCTCGTCAGGACGGGGCAAGGCGGATTTTTTTTTGCCATTACTACTTTTATGCGATTGCAGCGGAGCTTAAAATTCTTGTAAATGCTAATGCGATCGACCGCATAGGCAAAGTTTTTCTCCCTTAATATCAATTTTTTGGTTCCACACTCAGTTATTGATTTTTGAGCAATCATACAGCAATCCCCGACTTGTTCAATATTCAATAAAATCTCATATTCAAAATTATACAATACTTATGCATAAAGATTAAATATTTTTCGTTTTGAATCTAACCATAGTGTAATTCAAATAAGGTGAAGTCGGAATCAAAGGTAGCGTTGAAGCTTTGAACTAGTTATTCAATGTGACAATATCAGTAAGAACACACATATAAGTATTATGCGTTCTCAAGTTTTTGAAACTCGCTTATCGTTAATATAGCCTTGCCCTCATCATTTTCAACAAATTTTTAAGAAAGAAACTCTAACTCTCTGTTGAGATAATATCACCTCGAAATTCATCTAGGTGAAGTTCTTATAGTATTCTTGTTACTTTTAGAGATATTTGTACTTAGTATCGAGCTTCATTAAGTGCTTATTGCTCAACCCTCATTTCAGTAACAACTAGTATTATATAATTAGAATAGGGTTATTGCGAATGTTATAATTTTGAGACTATCCACATATCAAATGACTTGTTGTTACACTTGGAACCCGTGAATTACTTGTTAATGACAAGCAACATTGCCATCATTGGTGGATCTCTTATTTCAAGAGTTTCAACCCCATCCTACTCGAGGTAGATGTTATTAAAGTTATATATAGAG